CACTCCAAACAAAAGCAGATGGACAGAAGGGTAATCAAAGGAAGACATCAAAGCGAGAGCATCCCAAACACAGAGATAAAAAGTTTACGCTTCCTCTGCACGCTGAACACAAATCCGTGCAGATTTATCGATAATGTGATTTGTTGGAGAATAACATCAGAGGATCAAAGCGTGTCGAGAAACTATGGAAATAGAAATATGTCTGTCTCCCGCCTCTTACGTGGGGTTATCTGCAGTGCAGAGCGGTGAGGGTTGAGTTTAAGGACAGCCGGAGAATTCTGTATCATGAATTCTCGCTGTTCTCCAGAGGCGGAGGACGACTCGAAAGGAAGGTACAAAACAAGTTTGTCTTTGTCGGCCGACATCAAAGGGAAGACACGACAGGAATGAAAGATGCGGCGGACATGGAAAGAGAGAACGGCTGAACTTTAGATTCAGCGCTGCACTGCACGCACGCACACATAATCTCACCGTGTTTTTGTCTCTGGTGGCGGTCTCCGAGCGCTGGCTGAAGACATTTCACAGTCTGGTGAGCGCTCATATCGCCTCATCATCGGCAGCGAGCTCGCTCCCCACGAATCGGTTAGTTCAGTCACACACGCAAACAAACACACAAACACACACACACATCCAGTGCCAATTTGAAGCACTTGCAGTAAAGTTGCTGCCTATTCATGTTAATCCTGCGTGAACTCATGCGTGCGACAAAGGTGCTCGAGCGCCATCAACATCAGCAGAGATAAGAAATGACACTTAGGTGTACTTCAGCTTCACCTGAGAATCTTTAGACACCTTCATCATTTTGAATCAGAACACAACAAGGCCTCTTACTGAAAAACACTGGACTGGCCACTTGTTCTGATATGACCCATTTAAGGAGTGTTGCCATTTCAATAGGTGTCAGGTGATGGGCTGGGTGGACAAATACATACACTAGTGTGCATATTATATTGATCCGATTCCAAGTGAAGATAGATATAAAAATAATGGCACGGCCAGGTGTACCCTCAGCCTCCTAACAGATTCGTTGCATTCACAAGATTTTCAGAAATCTTGACCTCTGACCTTGAACTTGAGATTGAGGTCACATACTAGTGTAGGGGTGTCAAACTCCAGTCCTCGAGGGCCGGTGTCCCGAAACATTTACATGTGTCAATGCTGCAACACACCTGAATAAAATTTGTAGGTCATTGGCAAAACTCTATAGAACTATAGAACAGACACTATCTCTACTTTTAAGATTAGGCTTCAAACTTTCCTTTTTGCTAAAGCATATAGTTAGGGCTGGACCAGGTGACCCTGAATC